TCGTCGATGTCCTCTTCGGACCGGTCTCAAATGGTGACCCTAGGTGAGTCACCGGACTATGGTGGTGACTCACCATAGAGTTTCAACGTGGGGCGGAAACAAGGTGCTTCTGGAGGCTTCAGTTGAAGGTGGCTTCATGGAGGCGTGGCAGCTGACTGAGACGCCGACGTGGGGCGGCTGGAGGCAGAGGCGGCGCCGCGTGGTCCCTAGGGTATCATAACCCTAGAGTTTTTTTGCTGGACTGCATCAGGGCCGTTGGATCATATTAGATCCAACGGCTGAGGATCTGCGGCGGCTGAGACTTAGATACAAACCCTAAATGGGTTTAGGGTTACACATTTAGGCCACTGGGTTGGGCCGGATTTGGCCCGTTTGTAATAATAATTAATAATAATATTAGTAATAAATAATAATATTAGTAATTATAATTATAATAATAATAATTATAATAATATTTAAATGAAAAAATGAGTATCTTCACACACATCGGTCTACTTTAATTCCATCCACATATATATTAGTGTTTAGAAGTTTTTATTTATTTTTTTTATATTCACGCTCCTTTATATGTACTTGGAACATGATGAAACTTTTTATAGAAGCAGTTGTCTTCTACTGTGTCTGAATTGGTTGGGTTTTTTTTTAAAAGAAAAGAAAAGTGAGGAAGGTGATAGGATTTGAGGGAAATAATAAGATAAAGAAAATTTTACAACGCTAAATAAGTATCACTAACGATGAACATCATTAATTTAATTTATAAAAATTAAAATTTTAAAAGATTCGACATATAATTATAAATTAATTAAAAATTTAAAGATAAATTATTTAAAATAAAAGGTAAACTATACCAGTAACCACCTAATTATTACCCTATTCATTTTGACCAATATTTTTGAAATTTTGTCAATCAAGTCACTCAACTATTTAAATGCATTCAATTAAGCCACTTGCCGTTAACAGTTAACGGAGAAGCTGATGGTACCATAACCTCTTTTGGTTTTAAGGAAAATATAATTGATTAGCACATGCATATAAAGTTCGCTGGACAAAATTTTTATCATGCTACTATTTGTAAATGACATTCTACTAGAAAAAAGGTAATATAGTTTAACCTGCAAAACTAAGAAATTTTTATTCAATAAATTTTCAATACAAAAATGTGTCACATATTTCTTTCATGTTTGACACAATCTTCCTTTAAAATTTTAAAAATTCATCTCCTGCCATAAAATTTTATGTCAATATTTAATAAAAGTTTATACTACTAAGAGATTGATCTATATCAAAAGGGTGATTGTAAGCACCAATTTTCTTACCCCACCATACCCTGCATCACCCATACTCTACAGCGTCCATCCCCTGCAACACTGCAAAACCAAATTCAAATCAATGTCAGAATTTTTTTATTTTGTTAATACATACTGTAATGGGTTATAAAACCCAATCGAAAAATAATGTAAGGGAATAGATCAACAATAAAAAACATAATTGAAGGATAATTTTTTCTATTTTTTTCATTCGAAATATATATATATATACACACGCATACATATTTTTGCAAAAAAAAAAACAAACAAACGAAAAAAAGATGTGAGTTCTTACCCATTCGGCCGGATATTCGTCGACGATTGGGACATACGTTCGAAGATCCGAACGGTTAAAGTGGAGAAGGAGAGTCGCAGAACAACATACTCAAATTTGGGGTCGATTGGACGACATACAACGACGATCGGAGCTTGGGAAGGTCGAGCAGTTTTCAACTTTTTTGCGACGAACGGAGCTGAGTCTCGTGAAACGGAGGTCAGATCGGCGACGAGGAGGTCAAGGTGAACTTCCTGGTGAAATTTGATGACCATCAGCCACCAACGACGACGACTACACGGTAACACGACGACGGACGGCGACAGACGGCACAATGACCAACGAAGGTAACCACCGACGATCGGTCAGTTTCCTCTCTAAAAATAATTTTAAAAATAAAATGAGAAAAAGAAAAAAAATGTTGATATTTATAGAAAATATTAGGGGAAATTTCACTTTAAATACCCCTAAGTTTGGCGTATTTTGTAAAATGGTTACCTATAGGGACCGTTTCTGTAATTTACCTATTTCTGATGCATGTTGTATAATTTTTGGTTTGATGTCTATTTAGTCCCCCTAGTTTAGCTGTGTTTTTGCATGTTAGTCATATGTAGGGATTGTTTTTGTGATTTACCCACTTTTATGCATGTTATGTATTTTAGGGTTATTTTTCGAATGGTCCTTTCATGTTTAGCTTGTTTTTACAGTTTGGTCATGTGTAGTGGTTGTTTAATTTTTTTAAATGCTTAGGGACTAATTTTGTAATTTTCCTTTTTTTTATTTCGAATGTATTATTTTAGGTTAGAAAAATTAGAATATTTATGAAATAGCCCTTGTATTTTTGTATGTTTGTATTTCGAACCCGATTTTATTTTTTATTTATTTTAATTTGGCTATGTAGCTTTAATTTATTTTAATTTAGCCCCATGTTTTTATTTATTTTTCATTTCTTGTAATTTTAGCATAGTATGTTGAAAATATTTATTTTAGTCACTTGTATATTTTATTTTTGTTTCAATTCTGACATGATGGTTTGATTGTTTGTGCTTTAGTCATGTTTTTATTTTATTTTAATTTTTTCATGTTATTTGCATATTAATTCATTTTAGTCCTAATTAATTTCGCATGAAAGCCTCATAAGCATAACTTAACCGATTACATAATTGGATTAAGGGTAGTATTTATTTATTTTAAAATATTAAGAAGGTATTGTCTTAAATAACTAGATGTCATATTCCAATGTTTTAAAATAAATAGATACCCTGCTAGAAAAACAAAAAAAAATTATTACGTTTAAAATTAATCAAGTTTGAAGGGAAAATGAAATATTCTCTTATTTAAACTTATCGAGATAATTCGCCTAATTTTATTAGGGATTAAGTCTCGATATTTTTAAATAATTGAATATCTCATATCTTTTCTAATCATATATAATTTGGATAAATTGGCTTAATTTCTTTTTTTGGTCGAATAAAATTATTTTAATCTTGAATTCATGGGAGAAATTATTATATTCCTTTCATTTCAGTTGGAAAGAGAAATATTCATCCTAAAGTATTTTAGGGATTATTTTCTCTTCGATTGGAAATATTAGAATATTTTCTATTTCTCCTTAGAAGTTTTTTCGTTCAATAAAAATTGCATTGTTGAATTTGAATTAATGGGATCGTAATTTAAATTTGTATTCGAATTCTTATATTTTCACTATTAGAGACAATTTATAATCGATGGGACACCAATTTTGGGCGTTGTGGGGGTGCTTATCCTTCCCCATAGGTAATCGATCCCCGAACCCCTTTTTTATATAAAAAAAGAATGAATTCCTGGTTACACGTAGATTGATTTATCTTTTAAAATGATGTTTTCTTAAAAACTATTTTAAAAGAAATTTTTAGGTATTCAACCTACCTAACTCAAAAGGTCGATTGCGACTCCAAAACATTTCAAAATCTTTTCAAAAGAAAACCCCAAGTCGTACTAAATTTTTTCCTCGCCCGGGCAAAAAACGGTGTCGACTGTGATAAATTTAGTTTGCTTTAAATTTAATATCATAAATTATTGCTTGACTTATTCAATTTTTTAGAAAAAAAAATTTGTTATAAAATTTGTTATATTATAAATATAGAATATGTCGTAACTTTTAAAATTAAAATAAAAAGTTTAAATTTGGGTCATTATACATGGCACCATTTGATTTGAGGGTTAAGTTTATTTTAATTTATTAAAATTAGGACCAAATTGATAGAATATATAAGTAACAATGATCGAATGTATAATTATACTAAATATTTTAACTATCACATCATCTTCTCCGTTAAATATTAATAGCAATTTTCTTAATTGAATGCATTTAAATAGTTGAGTGATCTGATGAGTAAAATTTTGAAAATATTCGTCAAAATGAAAAGAGATAATAGGTAGTTGGTCACTGTTATAGTTTATCCTTTATTTTAAATAATTTATCTTTAAATTTTTAACTAATTTATAATTATACGTTGAGTCATTTAGAATTTAATTTTTTTTATAAATTAGATTAAAGGTACACGTCGTTAGTGGTGTTCATTGTTGCTTGTCGAGCGTAGAAAAATCATCCATATATTTATAATTTTATTAATTTATTGACGATACACACACTCTGTAAATTCAATTGTTTGAATTTAAAATATCTAATAAATAATTTTTCTTTTTATGATTTAGATCACTTTATAAGTCTTGTACATGTTCCAATTGAAGTATCGTTTGGAGTTTTATATTGTGCAAAACTTGTAAATGTATGGACTAAGCAGCTTTGTTTAGGATAAAATATTAAATTAATAAATAAAACAGCTCATTTCCCAACATCAAACATTGAATGGAATTGAATACGATGCTACTTCACTCAACTGCCAGCCATCATTTCCTGGATCCATTTGACTTCTTTTGTTTCTGCCTCCATCAATTTTACATTTCTTGGGAATAACATGCCCCTCCTTCACTGTGTGCTTTTTCAATATGCCCTATACCTTATTCTTCTCGCCAAAATTGAAATCCAAAATCATAATTAAGATACTTTTTAAATATTTATGATACTTATAAAGCTTGTGGATGTTAACTTTTTAATTTAATTTATGATACTTGATTTATTAATTAATTAATTTTGATTAAATACTTCATAGATTTATAATAAAAATGAATCTTCTAACTTAATTTGTTCTATTTACAATATCAATATTTAAATTTCTAATCTTGTTTAAAGAATTTAAAACTCCATCCTCTTTAACGAATTGATTGTTGATGAGTACGTTAACTTTTAATTGCAAATTTAACAAATTTCTAAACAAAAAGTATAATTAAAATTAATTACTTATATTAATCTATTAAATTAGATATGATTTTTTTAAAATAGTACTAAAGTTACCAATTCAAAAGCTTACACTTAATTAGGTTATCCAAATAAAGTTTTTGAGTCTATTGTAATGGAACAATGCTAAAAGTGTTACAATTAAGGAAAAATCACATTGGAACATACCCTATTCCCAAAATATTGCTATTTCCATGCTTGTTAGCGCGGAATTTGCCGTTTGTTTTACTTAACTAATAATACACATTTCCTTCTTCGCCATTAAAGGCCAACTAAATTAGCAAAGCAAAAACAATAGTGGAAGTAGCATAATTCATACTTGCACAATAAATAATATTTCTACAACACTTTTTACGTCGTCTTAAAAATAATAATTTATCATGAAATTGACCGGACGACAATAATAACACAACGATGACGATCAAGGACACCGTGGATTATTCCCGGGTCCTCCATAGTAGAAATACGTGCCCCATTCATTGTTGTAAGAGTTCTTGATGTTGTAACAATTCGTATTCTCGGCTAGGGTTGATATGTCATGAACCGAACTCAAGCTATTATCGGTATCAACTATCTCTAGGTTTCGAAAATAGCTTGCTTTTCCGAACCCGTCTTCGGCGAAGTGACCGGAGCCCATTTCAGTTGATGTGTGCTTGCCGTTGGCCCTTGAGTTCACTACTTCACCACCCCATTCCACCATGGTGGCATGGTCTGCTAGGTGAGTAAATAGCTCTGCTGGCCAATAACCTACTAGGGTATTATCACCAAATCCCATCCACCAGTTTCCTAGCTTAGGATCCTAATTTTTATAAACAAAAACTACTATTAAATCTCGAATATACGAATCAATTGAATTAAATCGTTTTTAATATTTATAAAATAAATTAGTTACCTTCCAAATTAGGATGGTAATATCATACTGATGTGCAGCATATTGCGAGACAGGAGAAATGGCTGCTCCAATGGCAATTCTACTATTTGTTTGGACAAAGCCTGCACATAGAAGGTTGTAGCATCCGGTTGCTTGATAGGAATCAGTCTGCAAAAAAATAGGCGTAAAAGCAAATAATCTTATTAATAATTGCACAAACAAATTATATAATTGTATTGATTATTCTCTCTCTTTTTTCAAATAATTAAAACATTCCAATCTTCTTATCATATTATAAATATTAAAGATAAATTGAAATAATTAATGTTCACGTCATTATATGAAAGTAAATATATTCTCCTTAACAAATAAATGCCAAATTCCACCCAATAAATGAAGTCTTTTAACTCCTACATAATTAAAAAATCTGCTGGGAAGCTTAAATTAAACAATCAGAATAATATTTTTCTCTATAGCATCAATATAGGTGTAAGTTGACATAATAGGAAAATACGATAGGAATAGCATTTGTGCATATGTTTACACGATGGACAGAAAAATAAAACACGACATATGTACATGAATTATTATGTGTACTGTGATATTTATTGAGATATTATTTATATAATATTTAAAAAATCATAAATAACTCATTAATAGATTAATATAGAAATGATTTCATTGAAGTAAACTAAATGTTTGGAATACTTTATAGCCCACAAAAGTTAAAGAATCCGCAACAATAATGGACCCCTTGTTGGTTGGTTTCATCTAATTATTGGCTGTTTTAGATTTGGTTTAATTGAGCATTAGCTTCAGAGAATGGTTAGCCAATCGGCTTTAAACAACACAAATAAATTATATTTTTGGTAAATATGATAATTTTTTATTATAGTCGGGAACATTTCTTCTTAAATACATTTTTAGGAGTATAATTTTTTATATTCGGTCTATTTTATTAAATTGAACTGAATATATAAAGGTGATTTATATCTATTTAATTTACTTCATTTATAAAACTAAAATTTTAATTTTAAATGCTATTTGAAAATGTAATATATTATACTATTAAATAATTATTGTATCTCATTTTTATACCATAAAACAAAATTATATAACATTAGTGAAATATATAATTTTATGAGACGAAAAGGAGAGAAGTTATAAGGAACTCACCGTCCAATATGTGAACAATCTCGGCCTACTGTCACCATAAAGCTCCGGACTGACCTGACTAGTAGAATTATCAAAACTTCATAAAACTTTAATACCATCGACGGATCTAGAAATTTAAGAATTGAGTCCAAAATTTTAATATTTTTCTTAAAAATAAGGGGTATACTAAAATTTTTATTTTTCCATTTTTTTGCCGCCCTCCAATTCTAAGGCTTAGCCCTAATTAATCTAGATCGAGCTAGGTTACACACCTGACTTTGGTAAGTGAGTCTCCTAACAAAGATTTTTTGCATACACAAGGACTCAAACCTAAGACATTGCTTAAGCGATATCAAACTACTTACCACTTAAACTAATTTTATTGGTTATTTTTCTATTTTCCCTTAACATGTTAAACTAAATCACATTTTTTTCCTAAATAAAGGATGCACTTCCCTAGGGTTTAGTGCATCGGCCCCTATTTAATACCTTAATTTTTTTGTTTAATTAGGTTAATAAAATGAAATCATTATCTTATTTTGACTTTTTCTTAATTTTAAAAAACCATATAATTAACAGATGAGATGATGTATTATTAACCGTACTCATTTTCTTAGTATTTCTAAAATAAATTTTATAAAATGTTCTACGTTAAATTAATTTTCAATATTTTTATAAATAAATTGAAAATGGAAAAATAATTTAAAAAAATAACAATATGCACAATCAAAGAAGAATCTTGAAGTGAATAAATGATAATAATGATATAGTTGTTATATTGTTTATAGTCATCTTGTAATCGAAAGAAGAGAATAATATTATAGTGATAATAAAAGAGAGGGGGGTATGGGATTATGTGCATATAAGGACAGGAAATGGAAGGAGTACCTGCCATCCAGCTTCGATGCTGTTGAGATCAGAGCCGTCGAATGATCCCGAAAGTATCCAAATCTGTGATAGACTGAATTCGTTGACCTCTTGGATCGATGGGTCCCACACGTTTATCATGGCCTTCGCTCCGTAAACCTCTTGGGACGTTCCCGTGTATGCAATCGCATGCTGAGAAAATGTGCACATGCATCAATCTCCATCGAATTCCAATTCATTTTTGACTTTGTTCAAGAAAAGGTGAAAGATACTACTCCCCAGAATTAATATTTTGGGATCAATATATTTATATTCATGCAATTAGTTGATTTGTGAACGATAATTAAGGGGTAAAGTAATTAATTAATTGAAAGAAACTTAAAAATTTCCCTTTAATTTTGAAAGGCCAATAGCTCATTTTCAAGAAGATGATCAATCACATCTTTTTCATATTTTCGATTAAGAATTTTATCCACTAATTTCGGTTCATTAGACTTTTAAAAAAACTAAAACCCTAGAAGGTCAATGCCCTTTTTATACTGCACGTGCTTATCATTTTCTCTGAAAATTATGTTTTGTAAACGAGATAATTTTTAATTTAAAATTATAATAAAAATAAATAAACTAACATACTTCGTGTCCGCCGCCACTAACGACGTCGGGGGCGTCTGTCCGGCGAGACGTAGGGTTGATGATGGTTGATTGTTTCTTGCCAAAGTGAAACAAAGACTTCGCTCTCAAAACATCATGAGCTGTGCTCCGCCGTATGGGAACCGTTCCTTTGGGACATCTTGTCCCATTCCTATGCCACATTTGCCATGCTAAATCTTCTCCTTTTTTCAACATTTTCTCCTTCGGCATCTCTGGTGCAACTTTCTGTCACATATTTCACCATTAAAACCAGTAACGGTTTCAAAACTAATAAACTCGATCGACTTTTCAAAATTAATACAGTTACCTGAATCTTGTGATTTTTTAAAAGAGGGTGATCTAAAGCTGGCTGTTTCTTTTTATGAACACAATCTATGATATCTCCATCTGGACTCTGATTTTTTTTTTAAAGAAAAAACCCCATGAGAAAAAAGAGAAATATATGGTCTAGGGCAAGGGTTATACGTATATAATTATATGTACCTCAATGGTGATGACAGCAGGTTTGTTTATCTTTTCCAAGTGTTTCTGAATTCTTTCTTGCCTCAAGCTACTCACTTTCCTACTGTGCTTTGTGTAATTTAAACCCGAAACGAGATCGAATTTCGCAACGAATAAGAGAGAGAAAAGAAGAAGAAGATGTGGATGACGACGAAGATGAAGATGAAGACCAAGATGAGACGGAACTCCTCTCTTATCAGCAATAATATTAGTGTTCGAAGCCATTATTATCTCATTCATAGCCAAAGGAAAGTGATGAAAGGAGAAGCTAACAAAGCATTACTATAAAAAAAAGTACAGGTAAAAACAAACCACACACTCTCCCTTACCTTGGAACATTTTCTAGCAGGGAAACAAAGAAAATAAATGAAGAACAATGACTTTTTTTTTCCTTCTGTCTAGAAAGCTTTAGTGGCAGAGAGAAGAGAGGTGGTTGAAAGGGTTTAATTAACCCAGAAACAATGAACACAAGCAAGGCAAAGGCAATGGCTGGCTTACTATTTCACTATCAAAATCATCATTGCCTACAATATTTGCATTGGTTTCATACACCGAAACGAAACACAAAATCATATAGTATTTTATTCGAACCCCATTTTAAAAATAATAATTTTGCGGTGTTAAATTTGCAACAAAAGCAAAGAACTCAGAAAAAAAAGAAGAGAGTTGAAGGCATTAATAAAACCCCAGACCTACCCAACTAAACAGGTCCCCTTTTATTTTCATTGCAGTTCTCCTTTGCCATTAATATTTCTTCTTCCATTTATTTATTTTCTTATCAAATACTTAAATCCCTTTTTCTTATTTATAAATACATAATAATACTTTTATTTATTTTTTGTTGTATGTATATACAACTTTTCAGGTTGTTTTATCATTATCTTTTCTTTACTTCTCAGACTCCCCGTTTCTTTACCTTTTATGGAACTCCAAGTAGCACTCGATTGGTATCGTCATTTTTATCCATCCTTTAAGGCCACCACATGCCAATCTCTTCTCATCAACATTTCCTCACACCTAATTTATCCATTTTTTGAACATGAAATGTTACCATATCCTTCAACCTCATACATCAAATTCCATCTTCTACTGTGATATAAAATCTGTATATATATTTTAAATTCTAAGATTGTTATTTAAATCTTCTGACTATATTATTATTTTTACGTATTAATTGTCCTTTTAATGATAAATTATAAGCAGTTATTTGTAATTATCATCATTTAGTAGTTTTAAAATAATATCACTATAACAGAAATAGTATATTAAACGATTTCAAAAAATGAAAAAAAAGAAGCTCTTGTTTGATTGAGAGTGTTAATTAATATAATAGTTATTAGTATCTCGAGTTTGGATTTGGTAATGAAACCCAAGGAAAAGTAAAAATAGACAGCGTGTTGCTTGTTGAAATTTCAACATATTGGGGAGGCTTGTAAGTTTCTTATTTCTTTTACTATAAGTTTCATTATCCTTTGATTGGTAATGTAAAATGGAAGCAATCCAAGTCCTTGAAATGTGCAGCTAAACACTCATCTCTATGTAGGAATCCGATCTAGATATACATAAAATATCATCATTTTATTTTAAAAAAATTATTTCACTTCAATGAAATCTCAAGTTATAATTTTTTACCTATATGAATTTTTAATTAAATATAAATAAATAAGTTTATTTACATAAAATAAAATATAAAACTATTCTTGAATACAAAACAGTTATATGCTTTATTTTATTTAGTTTACATTCTTTTTAAACATCAATTATATATATATATATATATATATATATAATGATTTAAGAATTAATTTTAATATCCTAACTAATATTAAATGGAATTGAAGATAATGAATCTACCTAATTAATATGGGGTGAGATTAAATTGAACGAAGATGGTAAAGCTTCTATGATCGCAATATTCAATTCTTTCTCAGTTCATTCAAACTATATAAAAATTAATGAACAAATAAATATTTTTTTTCAGTCTCCTTGATTCTACCAACCTGGAACTCTGGTTTTGACCGAAATAATTAAGTGAAACAAAACAATTAAATAACGTTTTTATGAATTAGCTTATATGCCCCTATTTATACTTTTATTTATTTATAGTTGCTTGGTGATCCTCTAAAGCTATATTTAATGTTGTCTGGTTTGATCGTGTGTAGCTGGGATTTATTTTTAAAATTTTTGATTATTTAATTCATCTAAAATTTAGGTTTTGAATGGTACTATTAGAGTTATTAATATATATTACAAATTAGAAAGTCAAACTGTAAAAAATTATAGATGTCAATATTTAATTCGGACCTAAACCGATCCTACGGGCGGATTTAATTTTGACATTATTATATTAAAAACCATGTGATAACCATTTTTTTTGAAAAATAATTAAATATTATTTTAAAAGTAATTAAATATTATTTTAAAAATAATTATGATTTTTATTAGGAAAATTTGTCGATTTTGAATTAGTTTGTATTAAATTGAAAAGAGTCGCTATCGACCTTTGGGCAAGATAGGTCGAATACCTAAAAACGTCTTTTAAAATAATTTTAAGAAAAATTCGTTTTTAGACAAAAATTGGTATGCGTTTACTAAAAATTCGATGTAACGGGTCCATGAGTCGGTTATGCGTGGGGAAGGAAAACACCCCCACTGCACCAAAATTGATACTTAATCGCTTACATGTTGTCGTAAATGGTGGAAATTGTGAATCGAATAAATAGTTAAATTATGATCCATGCATTAAAGTTTAATTAGTTTTCTTCGAATTGATTAATTAGAGAAAATTCTTTAACTTGAAAAGAAATATCGAGATTAGCAATCTTCCATCGGGAAAGTTATCTTGCCTATTTCTTATCTGTAAAGAACATTCTCTCCTCGATAAAAATGTGCATCGAATATACACTGAAAATCGACATTTGCGTAAAATATCATAAATTGCCATTTAAAGGAAAATGCATTGCATTATTTGAATAAAAAATTTAATTAGTAAAATAAACTAGATTTATTTCAAGTTCTCATTTTGTTCGAACGTCGTATCGGATCACATTACTTCGATCAAGTAATGCTTTCCACGCCCATTCTACAAATTGGTGTTCTTGAAAATATTTGAATGAGCTTAAACACTTTAATCGAGTATGAAAGACACGATATTGATACAAAGGCTAATTTAATTTTTTTATCAATATGAATGAGATAAAATAATATAGTGAAATAATTAGTATATAAACATATAGGGATTAGGAGAAATTAGTTAAACATATACACATATATATGATGTATGACATTTAATGGCATAAAGAATTAAAACCCACTAATTAAACAGTTTAACTAGGATGATAAATAATAAAAGGCATTACATAATAAAAGGACTAAATCATACCAGGACAAAGTAATAAACCCTAAATATGTAATAAACCCCAAAATTTCACTTTTCAAAACCAAACAATTACCAGAATGAACTCAAAGTAAAATATAAGATCTAGGATACAAACCAAATATTTATCCTCTAAAATAATATTCAAAGGACTAAAACGAAAGTGAAACAAATTTATAAGCCAAATTCTAAATATTAATTTTTATTAATATATAGACATGGATCTAAATGAAACAAATTAGGCAATCAATGACCTAAAACAGATATTAAACCAAATATTAAAATAATAGATCAGGGCTGAAATGCATGAAACTAAAAACTAGCAAACACAATCAAAAGTCACCCAAAAAATTGTAACAGCCTCAATACCAAGTTAGTGACTAAATTGTAAAACTTCAGAATTTGATGACTAAAACAGAATAATTGAATAGTATTGTAATTTGGTATAGGGTTAAATTGCAAGGAAGATGGAATTGAAGGATAGAATAGTCATTTGCATGAAAAATAATTAAAGAATAGATATATATATATATATATATATATATATATATATTAGCTACACGTGGAAGAGATGGAAGCAAAACACAAGGTTCCAGAGTTCTCTTATTTCTCCACATGTGAAGAGGTCAAAACAAAAGTGAGATTTCTCATGAGCTAATTGTTTGCTGAAATTTAAGTTTTCTTTTGATCCTTAGATGCTAATTAAGCTTAAGAAAAGCTTAAGTTGCTTTAAAACAACAAGATGAAAGGTGTAGGAAGAATTCAAGAATAAGAGTTATTGAGTGGAATTTTGAAATAGAGTTCATAATTAGAATTGGAGGTTGAATTTGACTTGTCACCGACTTAATTAAGACATACGAAGTGTTAGAATTAGATTTAGAACATGTTGGAATTTGAGTGAGATTCTTGAATTCTATATAGAGGATTGGATTTTTAAGTTTAAGAGGTATTGAATGGGTATTAATTAGTTTAAATAAGTGTATAAGAGTTAAGAATATTAAAGGAGGTGAAAGATGAAGAGTTGAGCTGAAAAGAGAGTGAATTTCATACTTAAATGGAATTTCTGGGTTGTGTGCATCGATGCATATGTGTATCGATATACTCTCAAATAAATGAACATCGAATACAATTAGTGCATCGATGCACCCCCTTAAAATACAAACATCGAAGGTGATTTGTGTACCAATGCACAGATAGTGCATCAATGCACACGTTAAGGAATGCATCGATACACTGTAGAGTGTATCGATGCATACCTTCATTAAAAGATGAAAATAACTTTCTTTTAGCCTAAGAATTGATAGTTTAGACTATATCAATTTGTATGCTGATAAGTATCAATGTATTACTATGTAGATATAGAACGTAATTTCGTTCCGAAACAAACGAAGGATTAGGATCAAGTCAAAACAAACAAGGCCAAGGTGAGTGCATATTCTAGATGAAATTGAATTGAGATAAGACTTGCGATAAGTCTATCTCTTTTCATTGAATTTATGATTCCATATTCATGCACATGCATACATATATATATGTGTTAATGTTATAGCGATTTCATGTATATTTCATTCGTGAGTTAACATGATATTATACGAATGAATGTCATTATCAGAGAATCCTTCCACGTATGTGAAATAATGGAAATGATCATATGAAGTGACTTATGTGTTTACATGGACAGTGATGAAAGAGATATGAAATGAGAAATGTATTTATAATTAAGCCCATGTTATTTAATATGAGAGCTGTAGGTATAATTGGCATGCCAAAAGTCGAGGGATTATCAATGGTCCTTTGGGACATAGTGGTCATTCGGGACAAATATTCAGTGCCCCTAGTGGGATTTTAT